TTGATTAAAGGTTCCTTTTGAAATAATCCGTTTCAAGAGTCTTTACTTTCTCAAGTTAGGAGAGGAGCCATTACAGAAGATTTTTAGGTTCTTAGCAGAGACTAGATGCTTGATTTTTAACATACTCTACCAATTGACAGGATCCTGGACCAAATTACCATATCTACTATGCTGAATAGAAACATTATGAAGTGGAGGGAAATCTATAGGAAAAATGATGTTCTGTGAACTCCAGCTTTATCATTATGGTTTTCTGGACTGCAATATTTATACTGATACTCTGGGAGATCCCAACACAATTGGATGACTTATTCCCAGCAGCTGGGAAGATTGTTACACACCTGTTCTCTTTCTGGCTGCTGGCTTTTGACCAGTGGATTGAAAACGATGCCATGGGAGTCTGGTACATCTACAACAGACCTGGGCATTTTATAGCCCCTGAGCACATTCAGCCCTTTGGCTGTCTCTGTCCAGTCTGCATGAGGACAATCGGAAATCAGAAATCAAATGTAAATAAGTATGTGCCATGCACACAATAAAACTGCACTGCTTTTTATTTTGAAGGTGACTGCTATTTTCTTTTTAATTTACATATGTCTGCATTCATGCCTTTGCAGCTTCACAGCCCTGTTGGTTTGGCCCTCCACAACTTTCCCCGTTTCTCATGTGACTCTTGGGAAAATTAATCGCCTAGCCCTGATCAAGAGGACATCAGGTTGGGGAAGACTCAGGCACACAAATTAATATAGTTAATTAACAAGGATACCCTGTTTTCCTGAAAATAAGACTCAACCAGAAAATAAGCCCTAGCACGATTTTTCAGGATGCTCATAATATAAGCCCTATCCCAAAATAAGCCCCAGTTAAGACTGTCAGCCAGGCAGGTGCATTTAGTACCGTATTTCCCTGAAAATAAGACCTACCAGGAAAATAAGCCCTAATGCGTCTTGGAGCAAAAAATAATATAAGACACGGTCTTATTTTAGGGGAAACGCAGGTATGTAACAACCATTGATCACTCCCTCTTCCCCTACATCTTCCTTTGCAGTGGTACCTCAGTACTCAACTGCTTCAAACTCATCGGATTTGGTTCTGGATGCATTTTGACATGAAAACGTCATCCCAGTACTTGGCCTTTGTGTTCCACGTGCTGCTATGGGAAGAGGGGAACCACTACTGGGAATGAGCAGGAAGTCAACCATGCTGGGAAGGTTGCTCAAAAGGAGGGGGGTCAGCCACAGAGGGCAGACAGGAAGGCCTTCCTGGGAAGGTCACCCACACAGAAAAAAGAGACAGGCAGAAAGTTCTTCCCAGCGGAAACAAAGGGTCACGTGGTAACTCACCTGCTTTGTTTGGGACTCATCCTTTTTAGTACCCATCACAGCTCCCAGAATGAATTAACGCCAAGCCCTGAAAGGCCCCACTGCATTTGAAAGAAGCCTCATTCCAGGGGTCAAGGCACAGGGGTCTTTCCATGAGACTTACCCTCTTCCTTGGATAGCTTTTCTCCAAGGTTCATGAGCTTTGCCTGCAATTCAGCCACGGAGATGAATCCGGTCTTTTGCTGGTCTACCATTGACATGGCCAGAAAGATTTCATTCCTTGGATCTTCCTGCTGTATTTGTCTATGCATCATGGTCAGGAAAGTTGAAAAATCCAGCTCTTCATTGACATCTGTAAGTGGGAAGGAAGGTGCAAGGTCAGCTCTGTATAAGAAGATACTATTGGAGCCTAGCACGTCTCTCCATGTAACTCAGGGTAGCCTGTTTGTCATCCTCAGCTGGTATGGAACCTAGAACCCCATGTCAGGATCATGGCTTTCTCCCACTTTGGAGTAAGGAAATGCACAAATACATTTTAAAATAAGGAGTACGATAGAAAGTTCCTGATATCCCCAAATTCTGCCAGGAGTGAAATGTCCTAGCCCTGCCTGCTTTCCCATGAGTGAAATAGCTCTGGCTTTACAGATGTCTTTGGAGATTCTCAGTCATCCAGGTTGTCCCATGATGCTTTTTCAAGAGGTAATTGGATTTTCTTGGTTTTTCCTTGAAAACATTTCACTTCTCATCCAAGAAGCTTCTTTGGTTCTTCAGAAGGTTGAAGAAGGTTCTTGGGTGAGAAGCTAAACATCTTCAAGAAAAAAAAAACAGAGGCAGTCCAGTTGACTTTTGAAAAAGCACCTTTGGGGTAGCTTTACAGACCTTGCTCCACTCCCAACGGTCAAGCATGGGCCCAGATACCAAAAGGTGAATCATTTCTGCTCCAGGCTAACATCCTAGTTTTCCATAATGACTAGATCAGTGTTTCTCAATCTTGGCAACTTGAAGATGTCCGGACTTCAACTCCCAGAATTCCCCAGCCAGCGCTGGCTGGGAAATTCTGGGAGTTGAAGTCCAGACATCTTCAAGTTGCCAAGGTTGAGAAACACTGGACTAGATGCTTAATTTTTTTAAAGGACGTCTGAAAGATAAGTAATTTGAAGCTCTGAAGATTTCCTCAAACTCTCCCAATCATCTTTTCTCCTGTATCATCACAGAAGAATAGTTCATATCCTTGAATATGAATGATATTTCATATTTCAGCTGATCTTTCCTTAAAGTGTAGAATTGTTTTCATTTTATTTCTAGAATACCAGAATTTAAAAAAAAAATTGCAGAACCAGTTCAATGACAACTTGAAGCAAGCTCTTCAAATTCAACAATTGTAGATGCTGACAAGAGTTCTAAAGAGTTCCTTTGCCAATAGTGACTTTATTTGCCAATAGTGACGATATTCAAGCCGAAGTCCAAAAAAAGCTCCCAATTCATTTAAACTGAATAAATCTGTGGAACAAAAATTGCTGAAATTTGCATTTCAAAAGCTTACCGTGTTCCCATTTAGAAAATAACCTTAGAAGGGTAAAAATGCCATAAGGCAAGACTGCAAGATTATTTTCAAAAGGGTTTATTTTCTTTAGAAAGATAACAAACCAGGCAATAGAGAATATATACAGCTGCAGGCTGAACTGTGCATTCTTGGTATTCTGTGAGCTGGATTGTAGAATAGCACCCCTCAAACCCCCGTCTGTGACTTGTTGCAAACCAGACTGCACAAGCAATGGGCCAGTGAGGGAAGCTTCACCTGTGGATGCACGGGATCTAGGTTGCTTGTGCAAAACCATTCCTATGCAAAACGATTTTGTTCCTGAAACCAGTCCCTGGAGCCAGAAAGCTGCCGTTGAACATTCTTGCAGATGTTTTGTTACCAGTGTATGCGCTGATGTTACTTAGACGAGTAATGAAATTTACTGCAGAAAAACAACCCAATTCAGAGAACACCAAGAATCAAACAGAGAACAAACGGATATGAAGAGCAGGATGTTGACAGAGCAAATGCTGCACTGTTGTAAAGACTGCATGGGGTTATAGTGCCACAAATTTGGACACAGAACTATTATTTCAAAACCGGTGAACTATGCAGAATATTATGAACAGAGCTGAGATGGCAAGCTTGAAATCAAAATAAAGGTTTCCCCTGCCTAGTTGTGTCCGGCTTAGGGGTTGTGCTCATCTCTGTTTCTTAGCTGAGGGAGCCAGCGTTGTCTGAAGATGCTACCGTGGTCATGTGGCCAGCATGACTGTACACCAAAAGTGCACGGAACACTGTTCTTTCCCCACCGGAGTGGTACCTATTTATCTATTCACATTTTCAATCCTTTCAAACGGATAGGTTGGCAGGAGGCAAGTAATGGGAGCTCACTCTGCTTTATGGCACTTGGGTCTTGAACCTGGGCTGTCAATTTTCCATCTGATCAGCTCAGGATCTTTAATCTCTGAGCTTTCATGGGCAAGTTTTATGAAGGTAGATTCTTCTTTTAAAAAAAGATGGGAAGTTGAATTTTTCTCTCTTGACCTTTTTTTCTCTCAATTTGTCAGAACTCTTTATGGAACCATGCTGGTTTTGGCTTGTTTTTCCTTCTCTGGTATTATTTAACTATTTTACAGTTTTGGCTGTTGCTATTTTAATTGTGTGAGTCACATATGTAAGATGTACATTCAATAAACAAATAAAGGCAAAATAACTATTAAACACAGTGGAAATTTAACATACTTTACTTTTAATTTGGAAAGATATGGAAAAATCATGCTAAGAAAATTGATTTATTTCCAACTTTAAGTGGCATGATGATGGCAAAATGGACTGATGGGCCAGGATTGATGGCTCATTTATCCGTGAAATATTGTTATGTTTAGATTATGATCAAATTTAAATTCATAGTATAATAGAGGGATAGAATCAAGACCATGTGAAGTGTCAGTGCTGGTTTATAATGCCTTAGGAAGGTTACTCTCGGAATACTTCATCTAGTTTGGTCACCACAATATAAAAAAGATGTGGAGACTCTGGAAAGAGTGCAGAGCAGACCAGCCAAGAAGATTAGAGGGGGCTGGGGGCTAAAACACCTGAGGAACGGTTGCAGGAATTGCGTATCTCTAGTCTAGTGAAAAGAAGGATTAGGGGTGATATGATAGCAGTGTTGCGGTATTTGTGGGGCTGCCACAAAGAAGAGGGGGACAATCTACTCTCCAAAGCACCTGAAGGCAGAACAAGATGCAGTGGATGGAAACTAATCAAGGAGAGCAGCAACCTAGAACTAAGGAGAAATGTATTGACAGTGAGAACAATTAATCAGTGAAACGACTTAACTTCAGAAGTTGTGGGGGGAGGGGTCCATCACTGGAGGCTTTTAAGAAGAGACTGGACAATCATTGGTCTGAAATGGTATAGACCAGGGATGGCTAACCTTTTTGGTGCCGAGTGCCAGAAGTGCGCACGCAAAAGCGCGTGTGCACATGCACGCACAATGCAATGTGCATGCCCCCACATGTGCATGCAACCCCCATGCATGCATGAGACCCCCATGCATGTGCCCCATCCCTGCCCCCGCACATGTGTCTCTTGCAGGCGCTCCCCCCCCCTCAAGCATTCACGGCAGAGACCTGAAAACTAGCTGGCTGGTGGAACTGAGCTGGGCGATGGCTTGTGTGCCTGCAGAGAGGGCTCTGTGTGCCACTTCTGACACGCGTGCCATAGATTCGCCATCACATGTAAAGACTCTCCTGCTCAAACACTAGATGACCTCCAAGGTCGCTTCCAACTCTGTTATTCTATGTTATTTCAGTCCCTTTATTAAGGATCCTTAATTTAGACCTCAGAGGGACGTGGTGGCTCAGCGGCTACGACGCTGAGCTTTTTGGCAGTTCAGCAGTTCGAATCAGTAGCGCCACGTAATGGAGTGAGCTCCCGTGACTTGTCCCAGCTTCTGCCAACCTAGCAGTTCGAAAGCACATAAAAAATGCAAGTAGAAAAATAGGGACCACCTTTGGTGGGAAGGGAACAGCGTTCCGTGCGCCTTCAGTGTTTAGTCATGTCGGCCACATGACCACGGAGACGTCTTAGGAAAGCGCTGGCTCTTCAGCTTTGAAACCAAGATGAGCACTGCCCCCTAGAGTTGGGAACGACTAGCACATATGTGCAAGGGGAATCTTTACTTTTAATGTAGACCTTTCCCTTTTCTCATCTGCTTAGCTTTTAAGACGAATTAATACATTTACCGTTGGAATAGAATAGCATCTATTTGTAGAGAGCCCAAGGCAGTTCCTACTTGCTTTCACACATATATTTTAAAGGTAAAAGGAAATCAGCCTCTGGTATCAGCGTCATACTAGAAAAATGTGCTCAGCTTGAATGATCATACATTTTCCAGGTTCAATTAAGATTTCTGGACTACAATTTCCAGAATTCCCCAGCCAACCATGTTTTGCACCATGCATATGTAGCTGCATCCCCTGAAATCTTTCCAACCGGGGCCACTGGCACACCCTTTTTCTACAGTAGAACAATACATGACAACAACATTGGGAATACATGCACATTTGGCTGATCCCCAAATGTTACTCAGGGGGGGGGGGGGGGGAGACAGCAAACGAAAGGCAGGGAGGGAGGGAAATTTCCTGACACTTACCAATTTTGTGGACCTGAAGGTGCCTGGTCACCTCTCCAAGAGTTGGGCTGGTGCCCAAACTGCGCATGACAACGATCAGATCGCTGGCCTGGATTCTGCCTTTCTGCCTTTTGTCATACAGGGAAAAACATTCCTTGAATTCTGTTCAGGAGAAAAGGAGAAGGGCCACGGAGTGATCACTGAGGCTGGGAGGCAAGGAATGTCCTCCTCTCCTTCCGTGAAGCTGAGCTCTTGGTTCAACTCTCCACAGGAGGGAGGATAAAGCCTAAAGCTTATTTCTGGGTTTTGGCAAAAAATGCAAATGGCTATAAATGCAGGCTGGTTGCTGTGTCTCGAAAATGTGGCCACATAACTATCATCAGAACTATGGAACCAGGTTAGGAGTACCTTTTTTGTGGGGGGCGGGGGGTCTGTCATAACTCTGAAGAGTTGCTAAGCAGCTGGTCATAAGTCAAGGACTTACCTGTAGTTAGTCTAAGTCCTGAGCTTCCATGGCTGATAATGGACTTGAATCTGAGTTTCTATGGTCCTGCCCAATACCTTCACCCCTGCATGTCAATCCTGAAGCTGACCTGACCGAAGCCACCTGGGAGCTTCAGTGCTGCCATACTGGAGCTGAGGGAGAGGGAGGGGGGAACAGAGATAGCTGGGGTTTTGTGACCAAAACAAAGGACTTTCTCCTGAGAACCAAGGACATTCTCACACCTGGTTGGAGAGAAGAGGAGTGGCATTACCAGGCAATCGGACGGCACCTTGATTGGACCATGTGACTGATTGTTTTGGAAAAGGGGAAAACTTTTACTTTTAATTAGGTGAAAACCATGGGAACCTTCAGAGTCGGTTTTCATCAGAACTGTGCCAATATGATATTATGCAATAAACCTATTCTTTGAGGAATTTACCTGCCTCAGAGATGTTTGCTGTGGATGTATTACCTGGAACCCTGACATTGCACTTATTAGGTTAGCCAGTGAGTTATACAAAGCCCCAAATGTAGGTAACTTCTGGCCCTCTTATCTTAGCTGACGGCTGGTGCCCCCTTGGCCTTGAAAGTGCCCCCACCCATAAGGACAGCTTGTTCTTCTTCCAGAAACCCAGCCAGATCTCTTCTCTCCCAGCATTTATACTCCCCCCCCTCCCCCAAGCAATATAGTTGCTATCTAGCAACTCTTGGAAAGGACAATACAGCAAGAGGTCATCGGCATGCTAATGTAGCCCTGAAAAGCAAGCCAAGGATTGTGGCATTTTTAAAGAATGCAAAGAGTGTGACTGACAATCTTCAATGGGCAGGAACTTTTTACCTAGGGATCAGTTGCAAGTTTCATAGATGAAGTTGTACAAAAAATATTTTCCATCACTGTTAACTTAGTTAAATTGGTATCATGGATGTACAATGAACTATTTGAGATGTTAAAAAATGTCTGTGAAACTTTAGATGGCATGGAGAAGCTAGAAATGTAGATGGAGCACCCAGACCAGGAAAGAGAAGAGAGTAAAGAGGGCTTAATTGAAGAACAAGAAAAGAAGAAAAAGAAACTAAAAAAAAGATGAAAAGAGGAATCACAAAATGATAATTTGGTATAACTTTGAAGGGACAATTAGTGATACTGTTTATGCGATAAGAAAAAAATAAGTTCATGATGGAAAATATGGAAAGAGAATAAGCTGAAATTGGAAATAGAATTATGATGTAACATGGATTATGTATAAAAGAGGATGCAAAAGAGAAAAACCTGGACAATACTTTGTTCATGTCATTTGTATTAAAAATAATAATAAAAACTTTCATTAAAAATATTTTCCATCACATGTTTTTGAGATAATGAAGTTGACACTTCAATGGGCAAGAAATGTAAAACCACCCCAAATGGAAACCAGCTGAATGATCACATGATGTGCCCCTCCTGGTCTTACAGATTCTTTCAGAGGGAAGTGGAAAGGGGCCAGTCCTGCCCTCCCAGAAAGCTGGAGTGAAGTTTTCTCAAGGAAGACCAGGACTCAACAAGTCATAAAAGAGAAGGGTGGGAAGCTGCCCTTTGAAATGAGAAAGATACGTACCATTGATCTGATCCTGAGTTAGAAACTTTGCCTGCAAGACAGAAAGGAAAAACAACGATGAAAAGACGTCATTCTGCTCTACCAAATAAAGATTCTCCACTCAGTCACCCACAGTACTGGCCAAATTGTCCCCAGTCACCATTGGAAGGTTTTGGGGTGCGGATGCTGGTTCTTCCTCGGCTGCCCTGCCTGCCTTCCACCCCCAGCTTCCTCGTTCACGAAGGGGCGAAGTCCGCTCATCCCAGAGAGTGGTAGCAGGTGTAATAAATACCTGTTGTTGTCATGGACACAATCCAGGTTGCGGGTCAAATTTCAGCTGAAGTGATAGCTGTTAGCTAAGCAACAGCAACCAGATCGGGGACCGTTCTGTGTTTGCGGGAATTATTTTTCAGCTCCCTCTTCTTGACAAGGACTTGAATTTTTTACTGCGTAGAGCAAATAAGAACACCATCTTCCCGAAGACTTCAAGTATTCACTTGCATGCCTGGCTTCATAGTCTCCAGCCTTCTTCAAGACATGTAGGGTTCAACCCAAGTGTGTTCCAAATAGCATCCAAATTTAAATCAGAGTCCAAGGCAAAGTATTGCTCAAAGTTCCAATTTATTAAGAGAACCATAATGGCACACCTGGGAAAACCCGAATCTGAAAGCTGCTCAGTTTTCCCCACCCAGTTGAATGGTCAAGATTTCCCCCCCGCACCCACCAGTCCATCACATGGTCCAATCTCCCACTGCCATGCTGGCAGTTACACCCATCCAGTTCTGGTCAGTTGCAGAGGTGCAGAGACAAAGGATGACCTTGGCTTTCTAGAAAGAATTTTGTTTTGGCTACATAGCATCTAACTCAGTACAATCCCCCCGACCCATTTCCCCACTATAGAAAAGGCATAATAGAATAATATAAAGTGTGGCAGGCCAAAGATCCAAGAGAAATATGGCTGCAGGCCTGACAGTGTGCTCATTTGCAAAGCCCACCATGTTGCTTAACACAAAAAGAAGTCACCCCATTACAAGCTTGCTTTCTAGGCATTGGAACAGGCTGAAAGGGCAAAATGGCTGAATATTTAGAATGATCTATCTAAAATTTCATTTCTTTTTTTGCAGGAGACATTTTGAGTACAATTACTAACAGCAATACAAGAATCTATATTGACTTCTGTGGCACACAGGTGAAGAGAGGCTAAGCACAGAGGCTAAGTATCTCCCTTATTAATGAGAGGAAATTGCCACAATATTGGGCTTCTGGTCAATGGTGGCCTGGGCTGGTTCATGGGCTGCCTACAAGCTTGTGTATCAAGGACAACCAATAAATATAATCAGTTCAGCAGTAAGTAACTCTTAGATTCATAAATTTGAGGGTTGAAAGGGATTTTGGAGATCATCTAGTCTAATTCCCTGCCCATTGCAGGAACCTACGACTACAGCAGGGATCCCCAAACTTGGCAACTTAAGATTTGTGGACTTCAACTCCCAGAAACCTAAGTCTTAAAGTTGCCAAGTTTGAAGACCTCTGGACTACAGCAATCCCGAGTGATGACCATCCAGTTTCTGTTGAAACATTTGGAGCAAAGGAAAGTCCACCACCTCCTGAGACAGTTGGTGTCATTGCTCAAGAATTTATATTAACCTTCTGTCAGATTTCCGAAAGATGCCCTAATTAATTCATGAGCCTCGAGCCAAGTTTCAAAAGAAAACCAGTCATTTATTAGGAACACCTTTTCGGCAATACCCCTTTGCAGTTAGATCTGATCTCATTTAAATTATGGCTGAACTTTGCCCGTTTCTTCCCTCCCCTCAGTCTGTGTCATAAATCACATTCTCCAATGAGGTGCACCCCTTACAGACCTGCTGTAGTAATCTGAGATTCGACTCTAGATGAAGGTCTGTGTGGAATGGGCTTCTCCCCTTTCCTCACCATGGCAATGTGATAACAGACATACAAATGCTTTATGAGTTGACATCTTCCTTGTAGGAGAACCAGGTTAGCCTATAGTAGCCAAACATCAAAGGAGGCCAGTAGCACCTTTTCAGTGCAACATGTTTTATTAAAGGCATTGAATAATGAGATCCCTGAGGGCCCACCCCTCCAGGAGGCTGAGCAGCTCTCATTTTCATGAAATTCCTCGTTTTCAATGGGATCTCACTGGTTCTTGTCCTATTCTCAGATAATACAAAGGATAGTGATGAATTCATTTCTTCTTCTCTGGGACCTTTCAAGTATTAGAAGATGGCTATTAGGCCTCCCTTTTTTAGACAAAACATATCCGGGTCTTGTCTACAAGCCCCTCACGATGTCTGTTGTTCTTTTTTGCACAGGACTCTTTCCAGTTCTTCAGCATCTTTACAGTCCCCAGAAGTAAAAAAGTATATTGACTCCCAGTCCAACATCTACAGAGGAGAAATGAGGGCTTCCCTTGATTGTGATACTAAACTTCTGTCGATGCAGCCTTAGATTCATTGGGTGGGGGGGGGGGAGTTTCACACCAATCACACTCTTGGTTCATGTTCTGTTGTGACCACCAAGACACCCAGATTCTTTTCATGTGTGGTCCACTGGTCTCCTCCATTCTGGAGTCATGCCTTTAATTTGCTCTACCCAAATGTATTTTCCATGCTTGGCATTTGTCCATGTTGAAATCCATCTTCCTGAGTTTTGCTTATTATTTTTACTCGTCATGGGATTCTCCTGAATCTTGATACTGTTGGCTAAGCTGATTGTTATCTGCTTGTTTTACGTAAACGGTGTTATTTTCTGATCATCATCCAAACTCATTTATGTTGAACAGCATAGCACCTAATAGGGAGCCCTATTGTACTCCATGTATGGTCCTTGGTACTTTTTGAGCTGGGTTGTGGACTGAAGAGAATACCTAGGTGGGTAATGAAACATCTGCAAGAATATAGCCAAGCTCAGAGAGCACTAAGGACTTCACAGCTCCACCCTGAGCTATAAATATTCTCTTTTATTAGTAATCCCTGTGACACAACCTTGCAGCCAGATGTAGGGCTACTGATGTACATTCATTGGATAGGATTGTTCAAACAGCTGTCAGCCTTCCCAGATAAACCAGGCAGAAAACACAACCAGAAAAGTTAATTCTATTCTTTTATTATAAAACTAGATGAACAGATTCTTGCAAGTCTGATAATACAAATCTCTCGGGTTCTTTAACACTACAGAAGTGAGGGAGGGGCCCTTTCTGAGTCTCTCTCCCTGTCCTTCTGCAGCTGTAAGTTCTGCCATCGCTGGTCAGATTGTTCCCTAGGCAGCATCTCTCTCTCTCTCTCTCTCTACCCCGTCCCCCAAATCTAGTGGCATCATTATGGCCACTCAGATTATCTCCCTCAGAGCATCCTATGCTAGCACAGTCTCCTCAAACTTAGCATCTTCCAGAATTCCCCTTTCCCCTCATATAATTTTATTAGAGTTTTTTAAAATATAAACTAATGCAACATATATAAAGAAGAGAAAATGAAAGAAAGCAAAGAGAAAGCAAAAAAAAATGCAACAAAAGAAAAAAGTTAAATAGAAAAGAAAAACACAGCAGTGACCTCTGATATTCTTCACCGCAGTTATCAATACAACTACATTTTAACCTCTCTCTACACTTACACCACAATACTCTTCTTTCTATCATCTATCATAGCTAAACATCAAAACCATAAATTAAAAAAATTAGGCTTCTCTTTTCAATTTCTGCACAAAAATTTCCTAAGAGGTTTCCTGTCACTGATAAATGTGGATGAGTGACTACCACCCTCCAGAATGCCAAAACTGGTCCCTCGCAAGCTGGGAAACTTTGTGCTTCTAAACAGAGACAATTCACTATTAAAAGGAAGAGACACTTCCTAGCCGAGCTCTGCTCTTGCCAACTTTGCAGAAATGCCCATGTTCTTCTTAGCAACCATCTGGGCCTGGTCTCCCACTGACTTCCCAATGGCTAGAATTAGGAACGCCTTTCTGGACTACCAAGGACCTTCTCTAGGCTTCCAAAATGCAAGAACAGCAGCAGCATCTGAAAGGGAGTAAGAGAGTGGGACTGAAGCCGAGGGTTGGGGGCCTCACTTAATTCAGTGCCTTCGTAGACCAGGGCTTTGACTGGGCTCAGAGTCCCCGTACCTTTTTTGTCCTTCCCTGTGCACATCCCCCCATAGGTGCTCCAGTGGAGAACTTCTGAACTTTAAAGGATGCGTCTGCGCATTTCTTAGGTGTGGAGTTTCCCACCCTGAGTATTCAAAGAGAGGGAAGGAGAAACCCCAGAAAGGCCAGGAGACAGGCAGGTGTGCTGGAAAAATAAAAAGCAGGAGAGCACAGATGCTTCTGGTCACAGCAGCATCTGAAGTATTGAAATGCCTTTGAACCACAGTTCCTGTGACCAACACAGCCCCGTCCAGTTTGAGAGCCTGCTTCTTCCTCCTGGCAGGATGGGCTACAGTTTGGGCTTCCATCGCTTGCCCCCCCCCCCCAACTCCAGATGATAGGCTAACATCTCCCCATGTTGGCTGTAGGGGATGAATATTGATCTCCAAAACATCCGGAGGGCACCAAGCAGGAGGTGGCTGGAGCAGACCAAAGGGCAGCCCATAATCCCAACAGGAAGGAATTTTAGAAAGGTCGGGTTGATCCTTTTTCTTTTGAAGTGGTTGTCTTCCAGAGGTGGTGGCCATAGATTTAATTGGCCTCCAAATGCTGCAGAAAGATCAGGGACCTGCTAGTTTGAATCTGATCAGCCCTCTCTCCCCCCAAAATAATTTTCTGTCCCAATCTTCAGTAATATGAGAAAACCTCTTGTTTTTAAGATCATTTCTTAAAACAATCTTCCTTTCTGATTTAGTTCATTGTTTGGGGCAGCCAGAGTAGCAGGGCGGGGAGGGGGGGCTTGTTCTAAAGTTGCAGACAAGGAACAGCCACACCTTCAATTATACATTTGTCTCCCCCAGACTACAGCCCTGCGTCATATTGAAGGCCAATAAATCTGTTGACATTCCGCTTGTGAAATGCATTTCATTCAACTGTTCCCATAATCAAATTTGCTTCTTATCTTTATAGCTGCCACCACTACATCCTGGAGGTAGCATCTGCACCTAGAGTAGCTGCTACTACAACCTGGCAAGTCTTCAAAGAAATGGATGTTGTTAGTAGTTTGCACAAGCTCTCCTCATCCTTTGTTCACATCCCACAACTTCCTCACCTTCTTGCCAAGTGATCTCTCACTAGATCCCAGAAGAAGTCCAAAAATTCCTCGTTTTGGAGTGTTTCCGTGTTATACGGCCAACCCCTAAAAACTCCAGAAAACACCCAGACTGCTGCTAAACAGACAAAGCGGGTTGCCCCCCGTTTAGTCCTGGCCAGGACCCCGTTCTTCAAGAGAAAAGGCACAGAAGATGGTCCTTCAGTAGCTCCTTCTAACCATCAGTCCTTTTGCTTAAGGCAGGGGGGACCAAACTTGGGAACTTGAAGACTTGTGGACTTCTCCAGCTATGCTGGCTGGGGAATTATGGGAGTTGAAGTATACAAGTCTTAAAGTTCCCAGGTTTGGACATCCCTGGCTTAAGGTTTTTAAAGATGCTGCGAGTTATTGATAATCCAACTGCTTAAGAGGTTGGTGGGCTTCATCAATGGAAAACCATCTACTGTATATAGCTAGCGCTGGCTGGGCCTCTTTAGGACTCCAATTCTTATTCCCTACTGGGAAGAGATAATTTGCTAATAGGGTGTCATCATCATCAAAGCCATTCCCGATGGGGGACAATAAACTATCTACAGGTAGTCCTTGACTTATGGCCACAATGGAATCCAAAATTTCTGTTTGTTTTTTGAGACATCTGTTAAGTGAATTTTGCCCCCGTTTTATGACCTTTCTTGCCACAGTTGTTAAGGGAATCACTGCAATTGTTAAGTTAGCAACACAGTTGTTGACTGTAACTGGCTTCCCCATCGGCTTCACTTGTCAGAAGGTCGCAAAAGGGGATCACATGACTTCTGGACACGGCAATTGTCATAAATATGAGTCAGTTGCCATCTGAATTTTGATCAGGTATGCTGCAATGGTTGTTAAGTGTGAAAAATGGTCATAAGTAACTTCTTTAGGGCTGTTGTAATTTTGAACTGTTGCAAATCGAGGACTACCTGTACAGGGCTGGATGGCCTCTTTCCACGTGGCGGCTGCTCCTTGACCTCCCTTTGCAGCCTCTTTGTTTTCCCTCTTGTGGGTTTGCTACTCCTAATCTCATGTTTGCAATACCTAATGCAATGCTTTTTGCACCCCTGACCGAACCTCTCTCTCTTTTCCAGTCGTATCTGCCACTTGTCCATGTTAGTGAGTGCAAAAACCAGGAATTCGTAGAGGCTGGAAGTCAAAGTTTTCAGTGCTTTTTTCTCATTTCAAAATTCACTAAATTTAATATTATCTACTTGCACCATGAATCTGAGGAGTAAACAATCAAACTAGCTACCAAAGTCCTGGCTGAGAACTGAATGCCGAGATGTAGCAAGACTGAGCTGCACAAAGGAAGCAGTTCATCATCTCTGCATAGATTTCAACCCAACGTAGGGTGGAAAATGCAAAAGGAGGAGACAGGCTGAACATCAGAAGTCACATGGGGCCTCCTAGACCCTCTTCTCCATTCAACGTTCTGACAAACTCTACGTAGACATCTTTTCAATCACACAGGACGTAAACCATGGAAAAATGCAAACCCCGGTGCATAAGGAATGTCGGATCAGCAGACTGGGTAGTCTGATTTGGGTCCTGTGTATTCTCCCCGCAGCCACATCCCCTTTTCTAGCCTCAGGCTCCCTGTGAAGATTGATTTGGGAGGAGGCCCCAGTTTGGGAGAACCTGCTTCCAAATGAAGCCACACAGAATCAGGCTCCCCTGGATACAAGCGCCACGAATGGGAGGAAGGCCAAGCCTCCCATCCTTGGGCACTACCCAAACCCTGCTGGCTTGCCCAAAGGACCCCGTGCCCCCAAAATGAAGGAAGCCACCGCCTCAAAAGCTCTCTGCCTCCGTGGAGGGCAGATTCCTCAAGTGCAAGGTGTAAAAGGCCCAGGGCTCAGGAACGTAGATGATGCCAGGATATTTCTTCCGGAGGATCTGGTCGTTCCAGAGCCAACCAATCCAGAGGGCCACCAGCCCCAGCGTGAGGATGAAGGAGTAGAAGAGGAAGCGCCCGTTGCTGTCCATGACCAGCCCCTTCCGCTTCTGGTGCATCACGAGGGCTACCAGGGCGAAGGTGGTGAAGATGAAGAGGGTGAAGATCTGGCCCTCCGTCACCAGGTACCTGCAAGAGAGAGGGAGGTTGGTACACACACACACCATGCGCGCCGCACTATGCGCCTCCAAACTGAGCTTGATTTTTCCTCTGGGGGAGGCTGTTTTCGCTCTCCCCAGGAAAGCCCCAGGAGCCTGGGAGGGTGGAAAAGGCTTCCCCCAGCCCCCGGGAGGTCCTCCAGCAGCCAGAAACAGATCATTTCCAAACTTCCAGTGGGCCCATTGGGCCAGTTTTTCGCCCTCCCCCGACTCCAGAGGCTTTCCTGAAGCTTGGGGAGGGCGAAAACAGCCTCCCCCGGCCCTCCGGAAGGCCGAAAATCAGCTGGCCGGTGAGCGCATGCACGCTGAAGCTGACGGCTTGAGTGCGTGCCAGCAGATATGGCTCCGCTTGCCACCTGTGGCACGGATGCCATAGGTTCACCATCACGGGTCTAGGGTCTCCTGCTTGAGCCGGCAATTGGACTAGAAGACCTCCAAGGCCCCTTCCAGCCCTGTTATTCTATGTTCCACTTGGGATATTGCAGATCCCAACTGTCTGGCAATGTTCCCTCTAATTTTTTTTCAGTGTGAGCGGAAAAGTATAGTGTTTGAGCGGCATATTTTCATGCCTGAGCA